GTTACCACCAGAGCTATCCCCAGCCAAGTATATATGAACTTTTGAATCTTTCTTGCTACGAAGCCATGATCTTGAGTTCACCCAGTTAAGGGCTGTCCATCCATCATCATATGCACAAGGGTACCTATTCTCTGGTGCACGCCGGTAATTCACTGAGACAACAACAGCCTTGCACAGGCCCACTAATCTGCGACATAGCATGTCATATATAGCACTGTTTGCAGAGGAGTGTGCAAAACTTCCACCATGAAAGAAGATAATGACAGATACGATGTCACCATTGACAGGCTTCTCAAGTTCAACAATGCTTGCATGAGGTTCCTCTGCATCGACAGGTCTGTAGATGCGGGTAAGGAGGCCAGTCTCACGATCAATGATGACATCAAAGGAGAAAACCCCATCAACTGGATTTGCGTTGGCTGAGACTTTTCGGTCAAGGAATTCCGCAAGGTGGCGGTTGAAAGTACCGTCAGGACGCCGGAGGAGATTATAGGCCAGCTTGAAGTTCGAGATAAGAACCCAAGTGTTCAGTGGAACCACCAGCTATGCATAAAAGGAGCAAAAAGAATAATAAGAAATTTCTCCATGCCAAACTAAAATGGTAAGATCTTTGACTGAGTCTGAAACCTAGACCCAATTGAATCAATGTATAGATATTGCTTTGGAGTTGCAATATGAAAGAAATATGAAACTAATACGTATATATATATATATATTATATTAACAGTGAAGCCCTAGAAACCCCAGAAGCAAGCAGAGGCACTCTGACAAGAAAGCTCATGATCAATCGCAATATTCTAACAAAAAGCTCAATTACATTGGAAAATATATTATTCAAATCATACCCTTCGAAGCAAATTCATAACATCAAAAATCAGGAATTTTTTAAAGTTCTTAGAGAAAAAAATGAAAAACCACAAAACACAAAATTAAGGGAGCCGAAGAACCTACAGGAAAATCATTAACAGACCTCTTCCATCATCACCATATCCACTCAAATCCCAGCAGACAGCTCGAAAAGCGAAGCTACTGGTATCTACATATTATCATCTTCCCCATGAATCAAACACAAATTCCAGCCACGAAATCCAAGGCTCTTTAACCCAGAAAGAAACGGGCACAAAACTCACTCTAGAATCAGCAAAAACGCATCTATTGAAAAGTAAAATCAGAGACCTAGGACCCAAGTAGAAGAACCCAATCAAACTGCCTATATATTACAGACTAATCTAAACTGAAATCAGCTAAAAACTCAACGGAGATTCAATACACAGACAATCCCAAAAAGAACTTTACAAACCCCGATAAAAAATCAGTAAAAATTTCTAACCAATTAGCACAAAAAGTCATAACCACCTTCCCCAAGAAACAAAGCAAAATACGAGCTGAGAATAGAAGCGAGTACCTTGCTCTCACTGAGGTTAACTTCATTGCTCCTAGCCATTAAAATTTCTCCTGGCAACAGTCGAGACAAAACCCCAGAAAACCCAAAACAGATCTTTCTTTTGGGGAGCAACCCAACTCGAAACTCACATTTCAAAACAAAAAAAAAAAAAAAAAATCGCGATCTTTTTTCGCCCAAGAGATTCAGTCCTTTTGAGGCGTGATCAAAATTCGAGAATGGCCTCTTATAAACGCTTAATGGTCTCTCCAGGGAGATATATTGCTACTGCTAAATGATAAATGATAAATCTCACTGCCTCAATAAAACAGAGTGCGGAGAAAGAGAAGAGAGAGGGATGTGAATGTTGATGTCTGAGGTGGGGAGGGAGTGAAGGATAAGATTTTGTGCGCAGTTTAGCGGACTGTTAGATGGGTATTCTAAAACACGCTGCGAGTGAGCAAAGACGGGAGAGAAAGCCAAAAGGTAACTGTTGTGTGGGGCACATGGTGTAAATATAATTTTGGTTTTTTATATTTTGTATTTTAATTCTTTTTGTTTTTTAGTGGTATTTTTGACGCAATAAATTGGGAAAAGCTACAAAAGGAGTTTGGGAGGGAACAAAAGCTTTCCGTGCGTGCGGCCGACGCCAGGCACGTGACGACAAACGGAGTCCGTCCCAAATTCTCACCGATTCTCGCGTGATTATTAACATATTTATTAAAAAAAAAAAATCAAAAAATTAGAAAATAATTGCAATGTTTTTATACACATAAATGTCAATCGTTTTTATTCGATAATCTTTTTATTATAACTTTTTCCACGTTAATCAATTTAAAAATTAAAAGAAAAAAATATATATTTACAAATTACGTAGACAAGAATAAATATTACTTGACCCAAATGTCATATTAATAATTACGTTTGTTAACTTAAATATAATTACGCGGTTAATTAAGAAAGTAAAAATAAATTATTGCGTTTATATATCGACACGTGCTGACTCGTTAAAAAAAGTTGGGGGGGAGGGGCTTCCGTTTCTCTCTCGTGTGGTATGCACAGCAGAGTTCATCCTCCTCCTCGGAAGTGGGTCCCACGGAAATTCCCAAATGACCAATCCGCATATGATGATTTCCCAACTTGGCCTTTACCCTTTTAACCCCATCCAGGCCCCCGTCTGATCAACTGGCGATCTGGGACCCACAAAGCGCGTGTCGCCTCTCGCTCCTCCACCCGTTCACTTCCTCCACCGTCCATCATGTGGCCACGTACGAACGTGGTGGGTCCCACACAAGAACTAGGAAAGTAGTCTAGTGCTGTCCCTGCCAGTGCCCACCCCTCAGATTCTTTTTTTTTTTTTTTTTTTTCTTCTTTTCCCATCAATCGTCAGGTTAAAATATTTCATTTCACATTTTTATCTACCGTAAAAAATATTAATATTTAACGGTAAAATTTATAAATTTCAAATTCAATAATTAAAATAAATAAATAAATATATACACACACACACAGACACACAGAGAGGGTAATTAAAAGGGGGAGAAAAATAAAAAAAATAAAAAAAGAAAAAGAAAAGAAAAGTACCAGAGTGTCCTTGCAAGAGACAAAGTACAGAAGAGTACTTTTTGAGTAGGGACTGGGTTTAGCAACAGGGATGGAGGAGGGTTGTATAATCGAAGTCCATCTGATTAGTGGACCAATTTTTTTAGTTTGGAAATTTTGAGGTACAAAAGAAATTATGTCTTCATCTTACCCAAACCTGGAATTTTCTTTTTTTTTTTTTAAAGATAAAATTCCATCTAACCAAAACAAAAAAAAAAAAAAAAAATTTATTTTCATTTAATTTTAAAATAATATGATAAAATATTTATTTTTCTTTCTATAATTTTTAATTGTTAATATATTTTATTTTATTTTTTTTAAATATTACTAGAATATGCATACTTATAATTTTGAAAAAATAATAATTTTTATCCAAATCAACAAAAATACTATAATAGCTATAAATTATTTATTTAATTAAACTTTTTGGGTCTACAAAATGTTATTGTCATGTTATATTATTAATATATATATATATTACTATTTAAAGACATAACTAAAATTTAGTTGACTGTGTGTTTAAATTAATATTAAAGGACGAACTTAGTTTATTGGTTAAATTAGTTTTAAATCACGGTCAATTAGTAAAAGGGTTTAAAGTTAGTTTTAAGTAAGATAATGAGAGTTAATGAGTTGGGTCTTAAACTCGTAAAGTTTTTTATAATAATTTTTTTTATAAAAAAAGTAAATGAAATCTTACATTGGGGTTAATTTACAAATTTAGCCTATAAAATTAGTTGTAATTACAAATATGCCCTCTTATTATGTAAGCTGATTAATTAAGATGAGTTAATTAAAAATAAAATAAACTTGGTGATTAAGAGGTGGGGGAGAAGATTCAATGCGATGCAGCGTAGGGAGAGGCGGCCAAATCGAATTTGGAAGCGTCTTGGGGGGGGGGGGGGGAATACTCTTTTATGCCTCA